AGATGATATTTGTAAAACACTTAACTTAGCACAGTGCCTGGCACATAGTAGGTGCTACACGAATACTTATTCCTTTCTCTCCCTCTCAATTTGTTTTACTACCTCCCCTCTCTCAAATCCCATGGTGTGTATGTTTTTCCTCCCATATACTTCCCATCTTTACCTGTTGACCTTCTCAAAGACTAGTTCAGGTTCCACTTTCCCTGATCTCCCTGCCTAAAAGTAAAATTGCTTTTAGGGGAGTTAGGGATCCTTGTGAATCAGGGCTTTGTATGTACTAGGCACTTAATAAATGTTGTCAATCCAAAGGCCTCGTGATGGAAAATGCTGTCGACATCCAAAGAAAGAACTATGGAGTTTGAGTGCAGATCAGAGCATACTATTGGCAATTTTTTTTTCTTCTGTTGAGTTTTGTTATATCCTCTTTCTGGTGGTTCCTCCTATTGGTTCTAATTCTTACTTACAACATCACTAATGTGAAAATAGGTTTAATAGGAATGTATATGTATAGCCTATATCAGATTGTGCACCATCTTGAGGAGGGTGGTGGGGAGGGAGGGGGAGAAAAATCTTAAACTCAAAAGCATATGGAAGTGATTGTTGATAAATAAAAATAAATTAATTAAAAAAAAAGAAAGCAACAGTGTTGATGTCCTACATTAGTACTTCTAGAAAAAGGTAATTGAATTTGAATTGCTAGTTATTTGAATGGAGAGTCAGGAAATGTCAGGTTCCACCTTTGCCTCTAAGTAGGTTTCCCCTCTACCTTGTGCTAGATATGCACCTGGGCCTCAGTTTCCCCATCTGTAAAATGTGGGAATTTGGATTGTATTTAAGATCTCTTTCAGCTCTAATATTCTGGGATCCTATGAATAAAAAGAAGTGTCTCACTTTCAAAAAAAAAATGTTGTCAATCACTGAAGTCATGGCTCCTTCAGCTCATCTCATGGCATAGTGTGGACATTTGTGTTTAAATGGATAGATTTATCTGTGTAGTGACTTATATACTGATTAAATTATATGCCTTTTGAGGGAAGAGAGCAAGGTTTGTTTATAGTAATATTTCTCTCAGTACCAACAAATACATCGCACACAGTAGGTGCTTAGTAAATGTTTGGAGAATGTTTCACCTTCAGCTTTTTTCCTGGGCAATCTGCCCTTGGGTGGTTTATTTTCCTCTTTCAGGCTGTGCTTTGATATTATCTCAAACTGACTTCAGCTGGATAAGTATATTTGGTTGGGGTGAGGGGGTGGGGGATGGGAGCATGCCAAACATAAAGCAGGATCATTTCTTGCCTGAGCTTGGGCAGGGCTTTGCCTAAAATCAGTTCCAAATACCAGGGGGCCACAGAATGCCTAGAATATCAGAGGACTTGTTATGGTTGGCTTGTTTTCAGTAGTCAGAGCCTTGAGTGCTGGGGCCCAGTTGCTGTTTTAAGATGCTATTGATGTATGAACTTCTAATACAGAAATGCCCAAATTATAATTCAAACCATTTTTATAATTATCATGTGTTGTCTACTGAAATTGCAAGTATAAACTCCCTTCTCGCTGCGTGCCCCCCCCCCAACATAGGGAGAATACTTTCCTAAGCAGAAGAGACTTTTGTATTAGTGTGGTTTATTGTACTGGATTTTGCTTGTATTTGTTAAGAATGAATGGTTTTCTTTGACGCATAGGCACTTGTAAAGCCTAAGTAATACATTTGCATGGCATAAGTTTAACAGAGTTTTTTCCCTGGTTACTTTTCTCAAAGGCTTTGCTGCCATCCACGTTACACCGCTCTCCTGCTGTAAGATAACAGTAGATTCTTTCAAGGTTATTCTGAAGGACCTGCCTCCTCCGAATGCTACTGACTATATGTCATCCTTGAGTAATTCCTGAGAATCAGTCCGTCATAGGTTTACACACACACACACACACACACACACACACACACACACACACAACACACACACACACACTCCTCTCTCTCTCTCTCTCTCTCTCTCCTCTCTTCTCTCTCTCTCTCTCTCTCTCTCTCTCTCTCTCTCTCTCTCTCATCAGAGGCTTTTGAGGTTGTTGAATGTGTTTCAGGCTCAGTGCTCCCAATCATGACTTGGAAAAGACTGTCTGTGAGCACAGGTGTGTGTGCCCTGGCCAATTAATACTCTTCAGTCTTCAAGAATGCTTGGAAAGTGGAGCCTTACTGATTGGAGTAATGGCAGAAATAGAGCTTTTTTTCTCTTTATAACCAAGAATAGTCTAACCTCAAACATAACTGTTGCCAAAGACTCTTCCTACAAACCTTAGGTGATCATTGGTACTGTATCAGAGTGGAGAAAGCTGATGAAGGACCAGGCACCGTGCAGCGCTGGAGGAGCATGTCTCATCTGCTCTTGCCTGAGAGGGCCTTGGCCGCTTTTTCTCTCCCTGCTCTTGCTGTTTTTGGAGACCTGGCTGGCTGTATCTAACTCAAATCATTCAATCTACCATACTGGAATATATATAAATTGGATAATCGGTTTTGCTCTCACCCTTTACTTACCTGGAGGCAGCATTTCCTATGTAACTGTTCATTTTGAGAGCTAATTGGATGGGAAGGCCCAGTTCTTAGAATTAACCTTACAAACCTAGGGCAGAACCTGAGTACAAATTCAGTTCCTTCATCTGAGGTATAACAAAACTGAGGCCCAGATAAGGAAAGTGACTTGCTCAAGATCACATAGCAAATCAGAACAGTGCTAACACTACAACTCAGGTCTTCTGAATTGTAGACTAATGATTTTTTCTTTTTTTTTTTTCCTTTTGCTTTTTTTGGTGAGGCAGTTGGGATTAAGTGACTTGCCCAGGGTCACACAGCTAGCAAGTGTCAAGTGTCTGAGGTCAGATTTGAACTCAGATCCTCCTGACTCCATGGCCTGAGCTCTATCTACTGTGCCACCTAGCTGCTTCTAGACCAATGATCTTTCCATTATACTTTGCTGCTTTACAATTTATATGGGACTGTTAAATGTGTTATTTGGCAGATAGATGGTAATCCATAATCTGTGTAGAGGTCAGGAGTACAAAAATCTTTAGAACTGTGAAATCCATGACAGTGGCAGACTAGATGAAGTACGTTGTATGTCCAGGATTCTGCTTGTCAGCACTTCCATGCTTACCCTCCCCTTTCACAGTAAAGATTACCGTGATACCTTCCTAGTCTTCTCCCATAGACTGTGAGCTCCTTGAGGGCAAGGACTATCTTTTGCCTTCCAAGAATCCCCAGTACTTAGCACAGAGCTAGGCACATAGAAGGCACCTAATAAATGTTTAACTGCCTACACCTCTTACTTCAGTTGACTAGGTAAATGCTAATTGAGCTTCTGCTCTGTGGACCCACACGTGGCTGTAGAAGACTAGGTCTTGCCTTCATAGGAACTCATAGTCTAGCTGAGGAGACCAGACATAGGCAATGACAAAACCCGTATCACAGGACCAGAGAATCTCCAAGTCTGTGAAAGGGTCCCAGCGAGCATCTAATGCTGGAACAAGAATCTCCTTGACAGCAAATTGGATTAATGGATGAATGCTTACGTACCTAGGGACCTGATCCTGTGAGAATCAAATGGCCCAGGCCCAGGACATTCTGTCCATAAGCAAGTATGTTGCCTGGACATTCTCTTTATCATCAGGCTGTACCCCTGACAAAGGTTGGGTGATCTGTCAGAAGGGTATGAGGTGGCAGAAACCAGTCTGGGAATCAAATACTGTGTGTAGACTACTGATCAGTGCTCTAAAATGTGGCTCATCAGTGGTTTGTCATGATACACATGAACCAGGTGCCTTTTAGCCCAACTAGGCACTTCATTTAAGGCACCAAAGCGCATTATTCCTCACCCCCTACCCCTACCCCTCAGGATCTCCTACTCACTGTGTGGCAAAGTATAGGCTAAATAGGATGAGGAAGAATAGGGAAGGAGACATAGGGTTCTATCTTCTTTGTGATGGCTGATGCCCCAGCTTTTTTCAGTTGCCACATTTCACCTTCCACCCCACCCCACCTATGCTGTCTTCCTCTCCATAGGAGGAGCCTGATGGCCAGTACAAATGCATTGTTTTCTCCTACATTTTCCTTTTAAAGAGCACTAAAATTAATGTTGATGGTTAACAGTTCCCATTTTATAGTGCTTTGCAGTCCCTAAAACTCTTTCCTTACAATTCTCAAAAGATAGTACAAATATCCAAGACAGAATCAAATATAGGTTGATGTAGTAAGAAGATCAATAAATTTAGAGTCAGAGGGCCTGGGTTTAAGTCCCAGTTCTCCCATTTATTTATTATCTGTCTGACTGTGGGCAAGTAATTTTTACCTCTTAGAGCCTTAATTTCCTTATCTGTAAAATGAGCGAGTTGGACAGATCGTCACTAAGGTCACTCACTTCTAATTCTAAAATCCTATGATCACATAAATGCTGACCTGTGGCATTCAGACAATACGGGCTATGAAAATTCAAAGAAGAAAGAGATTAATATGTAGTATAGTGTACTGTAATTAAAAAGAAAAGAACTGAACTTACAGTTTTTGACTTGTGCTTAGGAAGCCTGGGTTTCAGTGCCTGTTCTCCTGCTGACTGGCTGTGTGTCTTTGGATGAGTTGCTTATTCTGTTTTGGCCTCAGTTTCCTCTTCTGTGAAATAAGGGGTTTGGACTAGTTAATCTTTTGGACCCCTGCCAGCTCTATCAGCCTATGAATTAAACCTCTCTGAACCGCATTTCATCTGTAAAATAAGGACAGTAATACCGACCTTCAGAGCTGTTCTAAGGAAAGTGCTTTGTAAACTGTAGAACACTATACACATAAAAGCTATTATTGTTCATAATATCATTACTATATGATGCTAATATAATAATGGTAGTGATGACCATAATTATGATAATACTGTTGTACAAATGAACTTTCATTTTCCTAGTGGTTGCCACTGGTCAGAAGCCAAGGTTTTAAGGTAAACTTGTAACCCTCTGCTTTTACCCCAAAGGGTCCAGTGGCATCCCAAGTGATGGTGAATGCAGTCCTAAGAATATAAGTGCCGTAGCAGCAAAAGCAGTGATCGTGTGTCTGTCCTCGTGTCTGAGTCAGCGATACCATAGTAGAGCCACCGTAATTAGTTGTTTGGTATGTAACATATTGTTCCCAAGTTCCCTGACTAATGCTCCATCTGACTGATTCAGAGACTTGCTCTTAATGAGATGCAAGTCTTAGAACAGCTCAGCATGTAATCCTCTGAGTTGGCCAGCTGATCCTTAGGAGCCTTACCACATCCAGAGGCACCAGGAACCATCCGTTTTCCTTCTGGAAACAGTGTTGAGATAATAGAAATCAACTGATATCTGGCCAGTTCTTTCTGGGCAGGTATTTGTATAACCCTGACCACCAACTGTGAGGGCCCTTGTCACTGGGCAGAGGAGCCAGGAATGAACAAGTGTGCAGAGACAGCACACACATGTGAAGGAGGTGGGGAGGGTTAGAGCATGTGGGAATCGTGCACTGATACCTAATCTGTAGGATACCCTTGAAAGCCATTTGCTGCAAATGACTCATTTTAGATTCTGCTTCCAACAGGCAGGAAGAAAAAAGGCTGGGAAGTATTGAAATACAAAAGGGTTTTAGTCAGCAGTGGCTAATAACTGGACAAAAAATGCTGCCTTGTGGGATCTAGATGTTTGAAGGGAGTAGTACCCTTTAAACCAAAAATGGGAAGGTAGGATAGAGCACATAATAGTGACCCCTAATTGATCATCCAACCAGAGTATATTAAGGAGGTGCCTGCTTATAGCCAATGGGGGAGGCCTGGAGTGGCAGCATTTGGGGAATCATTGGATTTTCTGGTGTCAGGTTCCATGTTCTTACCACTAGACCACAGCAAAGACTGGAGAAGCTGAGGGACCGACAGAAAGTGAGAGCCCCATGTTTTGGTGGCTGGCTATTTTTTCCCCACCCATTCTGTATAGGCAATAAACAGGATGGGGGCTGGGGAGGGAGCGGCTAACTGTCCCTCTGGTGGCTTCCCTCAGTGAAGCCAAGGCATCTACTTTACCTTTACACCGGGAAGGATGACAGCCTGGGTGGTTTGTTTCTGTGCACTGAGGTCAAGCTTGTTTTCTTATTTTGCTGTTCTTCTAGAAGGAACAGACCAACCCACACAGTGGAATTCTCCAGGCTCAGTAAACAACCAGAGGTAGTGACTGTTGGGACAGACCTAAGGTGCTTGATTTCCATGCTTTCCTGTCCTTCTCTCCCTCTTCTTCCCCAATTCCCACCCCAAATCTTAAGCCCGAAGAAGAAGTGATTGGCAAACTTGGCCACAGAACATTTCTGTGAAGAGATGGTTTGGCCTTGCCCTCTGGGAGTGGTGACAGCCTAGAACTGCTTCCCAGCGAGGACCTCTATGGCACATGTTACTACTGAATTGAGGTTACAGGAGGTATAGGCTCAGTGCTGTTTACAAACAGTCGGACAACTGAGAACTCTGCTATATTACAGGCAGAAGATCGGGCCCTGGGAATATGGCATTGGGAAGAACACTGTGGTGTTGAGGCAGGAGCCTTGGGGTTAGAGCCAGAGGACTTGGGTCTGAGTCTTGGCAGCTTATGTGAGTTTGTGCTACACATTTCACTTTTCTGGCCTCAAGCTTATTATTATTTAAAGTGGAGCTAATAGTACCTTTACTTTACAGGATTATTGTGAGGAAACACTTTGTAAGCCTTAAGGCACTGTATTAATATGAGCTAATAAATATTTTAAAAATAATGATAACAAAATGCCTATTATGTATAAAGTAGCAGCTAGATGGTTCAGTGGATAGAGTGCTGGGCCTAGAGTCAGGAAGACCCGAGTTCAAATCCAGTATCAGATATTCACTAGCTGTGTGACTATGGACAAGTCACTAAACTCTGTTTGCCTTAATCTACTGGAGAAGGAAATGGCACACTACTCTAGTAACTGCAAAGACAACGCTGTGGACAGCAGTGGCATGCTATGGTACACAAGGTCACAAAGAGTCAGACACAACTGAACAGACATGTACAAAATGTCGTGCTAAGTGCTAGGGATACAAAACAAAAACACTAGCTATATAATCCCAGGTAAGTGGCTTTATCTTTCTGAGTCATAGTTTCTTTTTCTTTTAAAAAAAATGGAGTTTATGATCATAGAGGCAGTCTAGCATGGTAAAAAAGAACGTTTAGGATGCAGCTAGGTGGCGGAGTGGATGAAGCACCAGCCTTGGAGTCAGGAGGACTTCAGGAGTCAAATCCAGCCTCAGACACTTGACACTTGCTAGCTGTGTGACCCTGGGCAAGTCACTTAACCCTATTGCCTAGTCCAAAAAAAAAAAGGTGGGATTTTGGGGCACCTGGGTGGTGCAGTGGATAGAGCTCTGGCCTTGGTATCAGGAGAACCTGAGTTCAAATCTGACCTCAGACACTTGACACTTACTAGCTGTGTGACCCTGGGCAAGTCACAACCCTGATTACCTCACCAAAAAGCAAAAAGCAAACAAACATAAAAGAATGTTTATTCTAGACCCATTTTAGAGCACTGGGTTTGACTATTAACTCCACTATTTACATGTGGATGTTTTTGTGCAAATTGCCTGATTTCCTTATGCTTCTGTTTCCTCTTCTGTAAAACAAAAGTAAAACTAGAATTCAGAGGTTCCCAAAGTGGGTGATACCATCCACTGGGGGGGGCACTGGAATGATCCAGGGGAGCAGTAGTAGCCTCAGGTGCAACTGGGGGACATTGAATAAAAATAAGGGGGCAGTGGAAACATAAGGAAAGAAGATAAGAAAATTTTGAAAAGCCGTTTGTACGTGTTGCATCTCTTGTGTAACAGAGTTAAAGTCGTAGTGATTACATAATTTTCCAAATAAACACGCAAAATGCAGATTATAACTGATCAGTGGTCAAGTCCACCAACAGGTCTTCACAAGCAAGTGTTGGCAGGCAAGCAGTCCAGTGTGCATCAGCAGGAATATGTATGTGTGATGACATGTTTATAATATGATACTATGCAGTTACATGATACAATATTGTGTCATCAAAATTTCAATGCAGGAAAAAACCCACAAATTTACAATAAATTATTAAATTTAAGGTGGGTCATTTAAAAAAAAATTTTTTTAAAATGATGCAAATTTTTTTAAAAAACCATTAAAGGGTTAAAGTTTTCCAGGAGGGTGCCGAGTAATTTTTTTTTTTTTTTTGAAAAGAGGGTGGTAGGTCACATAAGTTTGGGAACCTCTGGATTTGATGATTTCTAAATCCCTTCTGACTCTAAATTCTTTGATCTTTGGTCACATCTCTGAAAGAATGGTCATCCAGAGTCTAGAGGGAGGGAAGAGAAAGGGGGAGCTTGGCAAGGATAGCAGTCTGGCCAGAGGAGAGGTGATTGTAAGGGAGCAGGGAGACCTAAAACTAGGAGAGAGCCAGATTGTGGAAGTATGAAGACATCCTAGTAAGGAGTCCTGGGCCTTGCCATCCACCCTGAAGCTTATCCTCTTCCCCAATTATAATGGGTGCTGTTTAAGGACAGGTTCTTTCTTTCTGTTCTGTTCGTATCCCTGGCACTTAGCACAGCCAGATTTGTCTAGTAACGTGTTAGCTGTTACATAGTTCCTGGAAGCTGTGGAGTAAATTGAGTTAAATCAAAACTTGAGATGCAGACAATTTCTAGGTGACGTGAGTAAGCCTTTTCCTTAGGTTAAGTGGATTTGAAGCTGGTTGAATGACCAAACCCAGAGTAGTTAATAGGACAACGTAAACTTGGAGGGAAGCTTCTAGTGGAGTGCTCCCAGGGATTTTTGTCAGTGACTTGGATGAAGAAAAATGGGATGATAGAATAAGATGAATTTTTAAAAAGTTTTACTGATGCCTTTTGATTTTTAATATCAGTCATTTTCTGAACCCTTTCCTTTCCCTTAGCTGAACCCTCCCTTGTAACAAAGGAAAATAGTTAAGTAGAAGCAATTGAGAAAAAAACGCAGCTTTCTGACAAACGCATATAACACTCTATACTTATGGTTCCCCACCTTTCTGGTTGGTTGTCCTTCATACTTGAAGAGGACCAAAATGACATTACTATGTTGGGGTCAATGTACGGTGTGTCCGACTGTGGCTGATCAGATCAACGTGAGCTTGGAAGACTCCACCACAGGTTAGGCACAAATAGTCTTTATGAACATTTGGAATAGAGATCTCTCTAAATTTTTGCATCTCACATTTCTTCTGAGCTATTGCAGTTCTACTTAACTTGTAGAGCAGTGACTTCTCTGATGTGGGCACATCATGCTGGATGGTCTTGTGCCAGTGTATCCCGTGCCTCGAAATCGATTCCAAAGTTCTTCACACTCTTTCTGACCATTGTATGAGCAGTCGCCTTGTGTGAATTCTCCATAAAATAGTCTTAGGCAGATGTACATTTGACATTGAAACAATGTGATCAGCCCATTGGAGTTGCACTCTTTGCATTAGGGTTTGAATGTTTGGCAGTTCAGCTTGAGAAAAGACTTCGGCGTCTGATACCTTATCTTGCCAGGGGGTCTTCATTGTAAGACAATTCAAGTGGAAGCAATTCAGTTTCCTGGCATGACGATTCAGTTTCCTGGCATGGCATAGGTAGATCGTCCACGTTCCATAGGCATACAGCAATGAGATCAACACAACAGCTCTGTAGGTCTTCAGTTTGGTAAGCAGCCTAATATTCTCTCCCACCCTTTCCTTTGGAGTCTCCTACATTACTGTGTGTACATCCTAGAAAGTATATGGCCGGGGCAGCTAGATGGTGTAGTGGATAAAGCTCTGGCCCTGGAGTCAGGAGGACCTGAGTTCAAACCCGGGCCTCAGACACTTGATACGTTCTAGCTGTGTGACCCTGGGCAAGTCACTTAACCCCATTGTCTCACCAAAAAAAAAAAAAAAGGTAAGTGAACTTATCCGCAGCATTCAGAATCTCTCTGTTTGCTGTAACCAGTGGCTCCATGTATGGATGATGTGATGCTGGCTAGTGGAGAACCTCTGTTTTCTTGGTTTTGATTGTCAGGCCAAAATGAACACAAGTGACAGAGAATTGATTTAGACTCTGTTGCATTTCAGCCTCGGAGACTGCATCAAGT